AAAAAAAAAAAATCGAATTTGTGCATTTAAATTATTGTTTAAAACACATACATATATATGCAATTAGTATAGGCAAACATACATATGTTCATATGCATAGATTTACATATATGTATCTGAAAGATTATAGACAAATTTTACAATAAGTTTTATATAACTTTTTTACATAAACTCTATCAATTTCTTTAAAATTAGCAACTGCATATTTGTTTGACAACTGTTGTTAATTTAAGCTTTAAAATAGTATTTTTTTTTTTAAATTACACGTGTTAAATATTTACCTGGTTGTTATCCGAATAATAATATAATTAAAATAAAATGTTTTAACGGACGGCAGAGACTATTGCGCAATATTATTAAATAAACTTATCATTCATCAATGCACAAAAAATCGAATAGTTGCAAAAAACAATGTTCGGAAATGCGTCATCAAACTATTTTTTCGAATGCAGAATACGAAAAAAGGTTTAATCAGCAAGTACACTCTGCGAAAAGCAAGCAAGTGCCAGTGTTGCCATTATGATACTGAGCTAAATTTAGCTTTTTATTTTTCTATTTAGCTCCGAAAATTGGGCTTTAGCTCCTAGCCCTTTCCAAAATTATTTAACACTTTTTTAGCTCCAGAAAATTTTAGGTGTATTTGGCAATATAGTAAAATTAGATATCTGTAATTTCACTGTATAAGTGTTGACTGGCATTTATTTGGCTTTGGTGGCCTCAGGCTATTTCCGATACCTTCATGTAATTCTATTTCGATTAATATTTAGAAAAGTTACATCCCTAATACAAATGGCGCGAAAGGAAATAGAGAAAGTACACAAACTGTACCGGACAGTAATTCGAGCTCCGATAAGCTCAGACGGTGTATTCTCTCTCAGGCAACCACGGTAGAAAAGGAATTCTAAAACTTAAGCGTTGATAAAACTATAAATTTCGAAATGCAGCGGAAAAGCATATATTTATATCCACAGAAAAATGCAGACTCCACCATAAACTCTTGAATCTAAGTTAAAGAATTCAAAAATTTATTAGAAGAAAGTCGTTTTTCTGAATTTCGCGGAATTTTTTTTTACCTAAATTATTTTACCTTAAGGAGAGAAGAAAATAAAACTTTTCAGAAAAATTTT